TGAACCTCCTCTGCACCCTCTCCAAAGCATCCACATCCTTTTGGTAATGTGGCGAACAGAACTGTACGCAGAATTCCAAATGTGGTCAAACCAAAGTCCTATACAACTGTAACATGACCTGCCAACTCTTGTACTCAATACCCCGTCCGAAGAATGAAAGCATGCCGTATGCCTTCTTGACCACTCTATCTACCTGCATTGCCACCTTCAGGGTACAATGGATCTGAACACCCAGATCTCTCTGTGCATCAATTTTCGACAGGTCTTTTCCATTTACCACATAGTTCACTCTTGAATTGGATCTTCCAAAATGCATCACCTCGCATTTGCCTAGATTGAACTCCATCTGCCATTTCTCCAGCAACTCTCCAATCTATCTATATTCTGCTGCATTCTCCGACAGTCCCCTTCACTATCTGCTACTCCACCAATCTTAGTGTCATCTGCAAACTTGCTAATCAGACCATCTAATCAGACCTTCCTCCAGATCATTTATGTATATCACAAACAACAGTGGTCCCAACACGGATCCCTGTGGAACACCACTGGTCACAGTTCTCCATTTTGAGAATCTCCCTTCCACTACAACTCTCTGTCTCCTGTTGCCCAGCCAGTTCTCTATCCATTTAGCTAGTACATCCTGGATCCCATGCGACTTCACTTTCTCCATCAGCCTACCATGGGGAACCTTATCAAATGCCTTACTGAAGTCCATGTATATGACATCTACAGCCCTTCCCTCATCTATCAACTTTGTCACTTCCTCAAAGAATTCTATCAAGTTGGTAAGACATGACCTTCCCTGCACAAAACCATGCTGCCTATCACTAATAAGCCCATTTTCTTCCAAATGTAAATAGATCCTATCCCTCAGTATCTTCTCCAGCAGCTTCCCCAACACTGACGTCAGGCTCACCGGTCTATAATTACCCGGATTATCCTTGCTACCCTTCTTAAACAAGGGGACAACATTAGCAATTCTCCAGTCCTCCGGGACCTCACCCGTGCTCAAGGATGCTGCAAAGATATCTGTTAAGGCCCCAGCTATTTCCTCTCTCGTGTCCCTCAGTAACCTGGGATAGATCCCATCTGGATCTGTGGACTTGTCCACCCTAATGCCTTTTAGAATACCCAACACTTACCCCTCCTTATGCTGACTTGACCTACAGTAATCAAACATCTATCCCTAACCTCAACATCCGTCATGTCCCTCTCCTCAGTGAATACCGACGCAAAGTACTCATTAAGAATCTCACTCATTTTCTCTGACTCCTCGTATAACTTCCCTCCTTTGTCCTTGAGTGGGCCAACCCGTTCTCTAGTTACCCACTTGCTCCTTATGTATGAATAAAAGGCTTTGGGATTTTCCTTAACTCTGTTTGCTAAAGATATTTCATAACCCCTTTTAGCCCTCTTAATTCTTCATTTCAGATTGGTCCTACTTTCCCGATATGCTTCCAAAGCTTCGTCTGCTTTCAGTCGCCTAGACCTTATGTATGCTTCCTTTTTCCTCTTTGCTGGTCTCAAGTTCCCCTCCTAGCCACTCACCATCCTGACTTGGAAGTATAACACCATTCCTTCAGTGTTGCAGAGTTAAAACCCTGGAATTCCCTACCTAAGGGCATTGTGGGTGTCCTTACAGACCACAGACTGAGGCGATCCAAGAAGGCAGCTCAGCAATACCATCTCCATAGCAATTGGGGTTAGGCAATAAATACAGGCCCAGGCAGTGAAACTCACATCCCATGCATGCATATAAAACAAACAAGGTTACATTATCAAAGAAATTCACATGAAACGAGTGAAACTCATTGGACTGACATCTTCCAATTTGATGCCATTAAGCTAAATTACATTATATTAGTTAACAAGGTAAAACCTTATGGTATCATTTGAAACAACAAGGTGTAGAGATGGATGAACACAGCAGGCCAAGCAGCATCATAGGAGCAGGAAGGCTGACGTTTCGGGTCTAGACCCTTCTTCAGAAATGGGGGAGGGGAAGGGGGTTCTGAAATAAATAGGGAGAGAGGGGGAGGCGGATAGAAGATGGATAGAGGAGAAGATAGGTGGAGAGGAGACAGACAGGTCAAAGAGGCGGGATGGAGCCAGTAAAGGTGGGGAGTTAGGGAGGAGATAGGTCAGTCCAGGGAGGAAGGACAGGTCAAGGGGGCGGGATGAGATTAGTAGGTAGGAAATGGGGGTTGGGTTTGAGGTGGGAGGAGGGGATAGGTGGGAGGAAGGACAGGTTAGGGAGGCGGGGACAAGCTGGGCTGGTTTTGGGATGCGGTAAGGGGAGGGGAGATTTTGAAGCTTGTGAAATCCACATTGATACCATTGGGCTGCAGGGTTCCCAAGCAGAATATGAGTTGCTGTTCCTGCAACCTTCGGGTGGCATCGTTGTGGCACTGCAGGAGGCCCAGGATGGATATGTCGTCTGAGGAATGGGAGGGGGAGTTGAAATTGTTCGTGACTGGGAGGTGCAGTTGTTTAGCGCGAACAGAGCATAGGTGTTCTGCAAAGCGGTCCCCAAGCCTCCGCTTGGTTTCCCCGATGTAGAGGAGGCCACAACGGGAACAGCAGATACAGTATACCACATTAGCAGATGTGCAAGTTAACATCTGCTTGATGTGGAAAGTCTTCTTGGGGCCTGGGATGGCGGTGAGGGGAGATGTGTAGGGGCAGGTGTAGCACTTCCTGCGGTTGCAGGGAAAGGTGCCGGGTGTGGTGGGGCTGGAGGGGAGTGTGGAGCAGACAAGGGAATCCCGGAGAGAGTGGTCCCTCCGGAAAGCAGATAAGGGTGGCGAGGGAAAAACGTCTTTGGTGGTGGGGTCGGATTGCAGATGGCGGAAGTGTCGGAGGATGATATGTTGGATCCGAAGGTTGGTGGGGTGGTACGTGAGGACAAGGGGGATTCTGTTTGGTTATTATTACGGGGAGGGGGTGTGAGGGATGAGTTGCAGGAAATGCGGGAGACACGATCGAGGGCGTTCTCTGCCACTGAGGGGGGGAAGTTGCGGTCCTTGAAAAACGAGGACATCTGAGATGTACGGGAGTGGAATGCCTCATCCTGGGAGCAGATGAGGTGGAGGCAAAGGAATTGGGAATAGGGGATGGCATTTTTGCAGGAAGGTGGGTGGGAGGAGGTGTATTCTAGGAGCTGTGGGAGTCGGTGGGCTTGAAATGGATATCGGTTTCCAGGTGGTTACCAGAGATGGAAACAGAGAGGTCCAGGAAGGAGAGAGAGGTATTAGAGATGGTCCAGGTGAACGTAAGTTTGGGGTGGAAGGTGTTGGTGAAGTGGATGAACTGTTCAAGCTCCTCGTGGGAGCACGAGGCGGCGCTGATACAGTCATCAATGTAACGGAGGAAGAGGTGGGGTTTAGGGTTCACACGGTTCGCCCTAAACAACTGCACCTCCCAGTCACGAACCATTTCAACTCCCCTTCCCATTCCTCAGAAGACATGTCCATCCTGGGCCTCCTGCAGTACCACAACGATGCCACCCGAAGGTTGCAGGAACAGCAACTCATATTCCGCTTGGGAACACTGCAGCCCAATGGAATCAATGTGGATTTCACAAGCTTCAAAATCTCCCCTCCCCCCACCGCATCCCAAAACCAGTCCAGCTCGTCCCTGCCTCCCTAACCTGTTCTTCCTCCCACCTATCCCCTCCTCCCACCTCAAGCCGCACCTCCATCTCCTACCTACCAGCCTCATCCCGCCCCCTTGACCTGTTCGTCCTCCCCGGACTGACCTATCCCCTTCCTAACTCCCCACCTACACTCACCTTTACTGGCTCCATCCCTGCTTCTTTGACCTGTCTGTCTCCTCTCCACCTATCTTCTCCTCTATCCATCTTCTATCCACCTCCCCCTCTCTCCCTATTTATTTCAAAGCCCCCTTCCCCTCCCACATTTCTGAAGAAGGGTCTCGGCCTGAAACGTCAGCTTTCCTGCTCCTTTGATGCTGCTTGGCCTGCTGTGTTCATCCAGCTCTACACCTTGTTGTCTCAGATTCTCCAGCATGTGCAGATCCTACTATCTCAGTATCGTTTGAAATTTGCTATAATCAATTATGAATTAGTTTGTGACTGGTGTTTAACTCCAAAAGTGGACCTGTTTCTGTTTGGCAATGTATACAATTAGCGAAAAGTTGCAGACGGCTCCTAATAGAAGCTTGTCCTCTAAGCTATACATTAACTGTATTATCCTGTTTCCACTGCCCTTACTGAAATTCCTCCATATGACTGCTGTTTAGTCTTTTATTAATATTACAATTATCTCCTTCATTTCCAACTTCCACATCCTTAATAATAAGCCTGAGTTTGGAACATTTAGGTTACCTTCAGGTTATATCTCGTTCTCTGCAATGCTACAGAATTTTGCGAGTATCCTTCTTAATCATTACATTATCAGATTAGCTCAATGTCACTTCCTTGTAGAAACAAATAAAATAGGAGCAGAAATCGGTCATTGGGCCCTGAGTGCCTGCTCTGCTATTGTTGTGATCGTGGCTGATCATTCAATTCAATAGCCTGTTCCCACATTTCCCCCACATTCTTTAATCTCTTTAGCTTGAAGTGCTATACCCAGGTCCTTCCTGAAATCATACAATGTTTTGGCCTTGACTGTTTTCTTCGGCAGAGATTCCACAGGCTCACCACTGTCTGGGTGAAGGAATTTCTCCTCATCCCAGTCTTAAAAGGCCTAACCCTGTATCCTTAGACAGTGATCCCTGGTCCCGAATGCCCCGATCATCAATATCATTCCCTCATCTACCCTGTCTAGCCCTATTAAAATTTGATATGTTTCTGTGAGATCTCCCCTCATTCTTCTAAACACGAGTGAACATAATCTTCACTGATTCAACTTCTCCTCAGAAGTCAGTCCCGCCATCTCAGGAACCAGGAATTCTAAACTCATTAATATTTCTTTGTAATTGTAGTTCCTCTACCTGAAGCTTGATCTCAATTATTTAATGGAGTGAAACATTGGTGGTTTGATATTAACACATCTTTATTTCAGCATGATGTAACAGACACTGTTCCTGTTTGAAGCTTTCACTGTTTTAACAATGCAGAACTAGATAGTGAAAGTGTCCCATGGTCTGATGTGTCAAAGCGAGAGGGTTTGGTCAACACGATCTCCTCCACCTTTACTAGAAGCAAAAGAATGTGTAATAATCAATCCATTTCCCCTTGCAGTTCTTAACCCAGGAGGTCCTGCAAAACCAAACATCAGAAACATGAGTCAATCAGCAACAATTACCTTCTGTCTTTAAATTGACTGGAGGTATTGGGATCATCTTTCTCTGTCCCCAACATCATGCCCCCAATCCTCTTCTTCTGAAGGTGCTGACTGATCTGAGGGTAAAATAATCTATAAAGAGCTGACTCAGCAATCATTTCTCCTGAAAGCAGAGAGCAAAATACTGCAGTTGCTGGAGATCGGAAATGCAAACAGAAAATGCTGGAGAAACTCCACAGATCTGACAGCACCCTGTGGTGAGAGAAAGGGCTAATATTTCAAGTCTGATATTCTTCTCCTTGACACCTGAAGAAGGAGTAAGACTCCAAAAGCTTGTGCCTTCAAATAAACCTGTTGGACAAACATGGTGACGAGTGATTTTTGACTTTCAGAACAGTAAATCTGTTACTAATTCTAGGAATGCACTAGAAATTATTCTCAATTAGACAATACCAGGCTCTCCCATGAGCTAAGTACCCAACCATTAGGAATCTGCATGTATTTCTAAATACCGAGCTACACGCTGAAACGTGATAACGAGGTAAGAAATAGGGAGAGAGCACAGCTAAACACGTGGCTACAGGGCTGGTGCAGGAGGGAGGGCTTCCATTATGTCGATAAATAGAGCACATTCGGGGGAAGGTGGGACCTGTACAGTAAGGACGGGTTGCACCTGAGCCGGAAAACACAAATATCCTGGGAGGGAGGTTTGCTAGAGCTATACGGGATGGTTTAAACTAGATTGGCAGGGGGTGGGGAACCGGATTCATAATTCAGAGGATGAGGTATTCGGCCTTCCAACAGACACAACAGGGAGTGAGATTAAAATTGTTTCAGAGATCGTAGGAACTGCAGATGCCGGAGAATCTGAGATAACAAGGTGTAGAGCTGGATGAACACAGCAGGCCAAGCAGCATCAGAGGAGCAGGAAGGCTGACGTTTCGGGCCTAGACCCTTCTTCAGAAATGGGAGAGGGGAAGGGATTTCTGAAATAAATAGGGAGAGACGGGGAGGCGGATAGAAGATGGATAGAGGAGAAGATAGGTGGAGAGGAGACAGACAGGTCAAAGAGCTGGGGATGGAGCCAGTAAAGGTGAGTGTAGGTGGGGAGGTAGGGAGGAGATAGGTCAGTCCAGGGAGGATGGACAGGTCAAGGGGGCGGGATGAGGTTAGTAGGTAGGAGATGGGGTGGGGCTTGAGGTGGGAGGAGGGGATAGGTGGGAGGAAGGACAGGTTGGGGAGGCAGGGACGAGCTGGACTGGTTTTGGGATGCAGTAGGGGGAGGGGAGATTTTGAAGCTGGTGAAGTCCACATTGATACCATTGGGCTGCAGGGTTCCCAAGCGGAATATGAGTTGCTGTTCCTGAAACGTTCGGGTAGCATCGTTGTGGCACTGCAGGAGGCCCAGGATGGACATGTCGTCTGAGGAAAGGAGGGGGAGTTGAAATGGTTCGTGACTGGGAGGTGCAGTTGTTTAGTGCGAACCGAGCGTAGGTGTTCTGCAAAGCGGTCCCCAAGCCTCTGCTTGGTTTCTCTGATGTAGAGGAGGCCACAACGGGAACAGCAGATGCAGTATACCACATTAGCAGATAGGATCAAGGAAAACTCCAAGGCTTTTTACACGTATGTGCAGAACAAGAGAATGACCAGAGAAAGGGTAGGACCGATCAAGGATTGTAAAGGGAATTTGTGCACAGAGCCTAAAGAGATAGGAGAGGTCCTTAATGAATACTTTTCTTCAGTATTCACAACTGAGAGGGATCTAGTTGTAGAGGAGGACATTGTGAAACAGGCAGGTAGGCTAGAGGAGGTTGATGTTGTAAAGAAGATGTGCTAGGAATTCTGAGGAAGTTGAAGATAGATAAGTCCCCTGGGCCTGAAGGGATTTATCCAAGGATTCAATGGGAAGTGAGGGACGAGATCGCAGGGCCTTTGGCGATGATCTTTTCGTCCTCACTGTCCACGGGTATAGTGCAGGAAGATTGGAAAGAGGCAAACGTCATTCCCTTGTTCAAAAAAGGGAACAGGGATAACCCTGGAAATTACAGGCCAGTTAGTCTTATGTCAGTGGTGGGCAAATTATTGGAAAGGGCTCTGAGAGACAGGATTTATGATCACTTGGAAAGGCACAGTTTGATTTGTGATAGTCAGCATGGATTTATGAGGAGTAGATCATGCCTCACAAACCTTATTGAATTCTTTGAAGAGGTGACCAAACACGCGGATGAAGGTAGAGCAGTGGATGTGGTATACATGGATTTAAGTAAGGCGTTTGATAAGGTTCCCCATGGTATGCTCATGCAGAAGGTAAGGAGGCATGGGATAGGGGGAAATGTGGCAGATTGGATTCAGAATTGACTGACCCTTAGAAGACAAAGGGTGGTAGTGGAGGGAAAATATTCAGCATGGTGCTCAGTTACGAGTGGTGTACCACAAGGATCTGTTCTGGGTCCTCTTCTATTTGTGATTTTTGTAAATGATTTGGATGAAGGAGTGGAAGGGTGGATTAACAAGTTCGCGGATGATACGAAGGAGGGTCACGTTGTGGACAGTGCGGAGGGCTGTTCTAGGTTACAAAGGGACATTGGTAGAATGCAGAGCTGGGCTGAGAAGTGGCAGATGGAGTTTAACCCTGAAAAGTGTGAGGTGATTCATTTTGGAAGGACAAACTTGAAAGCCGAATACAGGGCTAAGGGAAAGATTCTTGGCAGTGTGGAGGAGCAGAGCGATCTTGGGGTTCATGTTCACAGTTCCCTCTAATTAAGCGGCTATTAGATAGGCTATGGATGATAGTATAAGGTAACGGTGGAGGTTAGATAGACCTTAGGTTCAGGGTAAAAGTTTGGCACAACATCGTGGGCCGAAGGGCCTGTACTGTGCTGTCCTGTTCTGTGTTCTATGACATGTCACCTGAGCTGCCACCCGGGTGGATAGAGTTGTTGAGAAGGTGTATGGTGTGTCGGCTTTCATTAATAGAGGGATCGAGTTCAAGAGCTGTGAAGTTATGCTCCAGCTATACACAAGCCTGGTTCAGCCACATCTGGAGTATTGTGTCCAGTTCTGGTCACCTCATTACAGGAAAGATGTGGAAGCGTTAGAAAAGGTGCAGAGGAGATTTACCAGGATGTTGCCTGGAATGGAGGGAAGGTCTTACGAGGAATGGTTGAGAGAGCTAGGGCTTTTCCCTTTAGAACGACGAAGGATGAGAGGTGACTTGATAGAGGTGTACAAAATGATCAGGGGTATAGATAGAGTAGACAGCCAGAGACTTTTTCCTCGGGTGGAGGTAGCTTTTACGAGGGGGCATAGTTTTAAAGTGAAAGGAGGTAGATATCGGGGAGACGTCAGAGGTAGGTTCTTTACTCAGAGAGTGGTAGGGGCGTGGAATGCATTGCTGGAGAGGGTAGTGGAGTCGGCCTCATTAGGGGCATTTATGCGGCTATTAGATAGGCATATGGATGGTAGTATAAGGTAGGTGTGGAGGTTAGATAGACCTTAGGATTAGGGTAAAAGTTTGGCAGAACATCGTGGGCTGAAGGGCCTGTACTGTGCTGTACTGTTCTATGTTCAATTTTCTATGAATGTAATGGACAAATAGAATCATGCAACTGTAGTTATAGCACAGAAAGAGACCAGTTGTCCCCTCATATCTCTGCCAGTTTACTAAGAGAACAACTTTCCTCATTGGGGTGTCATGTTGCGGCTGTACAGTACTTCGATTAGGCCACTTTTAGAATATTGCATTCAGTTCTGGTTTCCTTGCTGTAGGAAGTATGTTGTTTAACCTGAAAGAGTTCAGAAAAAGATTTACAAGGATGTTGCCAGGGTTGGAGGGTTTGAGCTACAGGGACTAGCTGAATTGGCTGGGACTACTCTTCATGGAGCATCGGAGGCTGAGGGGTGACCATATAGAATCATCAGGGGAATGGATAGGGTGAGTAGGCCAGGTCTTTTTCCCATGGTAGGGGAGTCCAAAACTCAAGGGCATAGGTTTAAGATGAGAGGGGAAAGATTTAAAAAGGACCAAAGGGGCAACTTTTTCACGCAGAGGGTAGTGTGTGTATGGTATGAGCTGCCAGAGGAAATGGTGGAGGTTGGTACAATTATAGCATTTAAAAGGCATCTGGATGTATATATGAATAGGCACGGTTTTAAGAGGGATATGGGCCAAATGCTATCAAATGGGACTAGATTACATTAGGATATCTGGTCAGCATGAATGAGTTGGACCAAAAGGTCTGTTTCAGTGCTGTACAGCTCTATGACTCTCCTCTGCCTTTATACCTTCAGCCTGCAAAATTTCTCTCTTCAGGTACTTGTCCAGTTCTCTTCTGATTGGATCAATTAAACAGGCCTTCATTTACTGTTAGTCAGTAAACACCCAATACTGGGAAAGATTTCTCTCATTTCCCCTTCTTCTGAACATCATCCTGAATCAGTGTCATTTGGATCTTGATCCTTCTTCCAAAGTGATCAGTTACTCTATCTATTGTAACCAGATTTCTCACGATTCCTCGACTAGATTTACTCTAAATATTCTCTTCGCCAAAGTCAATACTCCAGCTTTTCCTATTCATCCAGTTAAATGTGATGTCCCTCAGTCTTGGCAGCATTCTCATAACCTTTTTCTGCACCGTCTCTGATACCTTCACATCTTCCCTGAAGTGAAATATTCTAGTTGAGGCAGGAACAGAGTTTAATTCACTAGAAATTCCCTGCTATTAAACTCTCTACTTCCTTCTCGCCTGGAGGAGGAGGACGAAGCAGGAACAAATCAATCTCTGCAGAAATGTTGTGGTAGCCAGTCAGCATCTGTAAAACTTCCTGTAACTCCCCATCACCATAAAACCTGGGTTTAACATGCTTGCATTTTAATGCTTAGTAATATTCAGCTCACTGCAACAATCTCTGTTCCACTCCTTCACCGCAACACTGTCTATGACTCACTGTAACACACTCTATAACACACCCACACCGTAACACACTCTATAACACACCCCTCACTGTAACACACTCTATAACACACCCACCCTGTAACACACTCTATAACACACGCCTCACTGTAACACACTCTATAACACACTCTCATTGTAACACTCTACAACACACTCTCACTGTAACACACTCTATAACCCCCCTCACTGTAATACTCTCTACACACCCCTCACTGTAACACACTCTATATCACACCCCTTACTGTAACACTCTATAACACACCCCTCACTGTAACACACTGTAACACACGCCTCACTGTAACTCTCTATTACATACCCTCACTGTAACACGGTCTAT